ATGCGTAGATGCCACAAACTAGTATATGATATTGACTGATGAAAAAATGATTTTCTTCTCGTCTCGGTCTTGTCTTGCGTACTCTTCTAATGCTTATGAAAATTATAGAAGAATTCAGATGCAAATGACTGCTTCTGAATCACTTCTTCTCTTTTAGATTCTTGTTACCATCACTGAGAAATCTACTGTTCTACACTATAAAGGTTCTAGTTTTGTAGGTACCTCATTAACGGTAGCAAGAATCTGAATATGTTAAAGGAAATTAGAAATATACATCTGATTTTCTATAAAAATTTTATTTAATCAATTGCGTTTATCGATGTAACAGTGGTGCACGTTTTTACTAATCTATGCACTATTAAAAGACCTGTAATCAATCCTTAAATTAATCGGTTTAATCAAGTTTAAGGGATTGTCAAAAGTACTGAGAAGATTTGAGGATGATTTCAATTTTGTTTTTTCTTTAACTTAAAACTTCTTGACCGTATTGACTAATTCCAGACGTGTCTAAACTTTATTCTTCTGCATTCTCAATAATCTTTGGGCGTTTATGTTACGATTGTATAGTGATCGTCATTCTTTTCTTATATGTTTATCGATTATGTTTGATTTCCGTTAGATGGATTTATTCCAACATTATTGCGTGTTTTGATACGTGCGTGCATATTTATTTATGTACATCTCTCTATTCTTGATCTCTGCTATTCTCGTCCTTTTGTTGTATGTATGTGTGTGATGTTCTCTTTTTTATTATTTATTTTTCTCGTTCATGACAAATTTTTGTTTATATTATACTTTTAGACAATTCGAATTTGTTAACAAAATGTCAGATGAATTCCAAGACGACATCAGGTAAATATGCATCGGTTTTGCTTCTCTCTCTCTATATATATAGACACACACAGGATGAAAATAGGTTGTTTGCTAAGATTAACTGTTTACTACATAAAACTGTAAAGAGAGAGAATAATTAATGAACGGAAATAGAAATTTTCCGCGAATTATTTATATCAGTATTTTTGTTATGTGAATGATTAGCCATTTGTTTGAGAGAAAAAAATTGACTACATATTTTAGATGTAGGATAAAAGAGAGAGAGAGAAATATACTGAAAAATGTTTTTTGAGAAATGTAATCAGTTTACTTTTATAAGCCCAATATATCAGTGAACTTTATTTATAAAAAAAAAAGTGATCAAATATACTCTATATCTGAAATGAACACTTGAATAACAGTTCATCAAATTTAATAATTGATATCAGTACAGAAAGATAATAATAGGGAAACAATTTAGTTGATGTTTACATTGCCATAAATCTCCATATACAACAGTATCTTTTAATTAAATTTTAAAGCTACACTTCATCTTTCACAGCAGGAATACAACAAGTTCGATGAGTTAGAGAGTTCATATTTTCACTAGATATGCGTCATCAGACGCGAGGACCATCAGCTAAACTAACAGTTTGAAGTCTAAAAATTCTTGATTTACTGAAAATTTCGATGCAAATTAGAATCCTTTATTGTTGTCTCTGCGATTTCATTGCAATATTATCCGATTGAGCTGAAATTTTTACCACAGGTTTATGACATGTTACCAAAGTGGAATTCATTTTTGAGAAATGTTATCTCCTATCCGACTCATAAATTTTTAGCTCTAAGACTCTTGATTTTACAGCATTTTCAGCATCTTTGTTGTAATTCAAAGAGGTAAGAATTATATTGTCTAAGATAGAAATAGTGTCGTACAACATTAGATTCTTCAACCTTATTTTTAACATCATAATACTCTAAGAGGGAATCATTTTTCAAAAATATTACTTTTTAAAAATAGTAGACTCTTGAAGACTGAATTCGTCAGCAAGTTTTCTTTCATCTAGTTTTAGTGTACGATACAATAATTAGTGCATATACGCTAGTATGCTACTATGCCTGTTAACAGCGATAAAAAAAAGTTGATGAATTTTTAATCCCAGACAAAGACAACTTTTATAGAATAGTTGATCTTGTCATCAGTTCCTAATACTATCACATGTCCTCGTCTATTAATCGTAGTCCTATGTCATCAAATGGTATCAGTTTAATATATATATATATATGTAGTCTAGGTGTGTCTCGTTGTATTTCTCACAGAATGAATGAACGAACATATACAAGAATAACAAGCAACCGCTAATCCTTTCATTTTCGGTTGCCAATTTTCTTTCTCTCTTTTAATGCCAACAATCGGTTAAGCTGTGACCAAATTTGCTGAAGATCTGATATCGTGTATAAAATTAAGAATAAAATTCTATTTTCTACACTAATGGCATATAGGTAACAACTATATAGACGACAATAAAAAAAAAACGAAGATGACTAGAACATAATGAAAGATTAAGAAAAAAACAAATCAACGACACCTTTCATCAATAACATAAAGTAAAACTAATTTTGAACGAGGTGCGAGTTGAAAACATTATTTCGTAAGTTAATAACTGTTTGATTATTTTTATATGTCATAAGTTAGATCCAAAAAAGTTCAAGTACTCTGATACCTGATAATGAATCTACCTGTTTCATCACCGCGATAAATCGTTATAGTAATCGCGCGGTTAAGTGTAAAATATCGATCTCTTGCCTCCCTAAACTAACAACTTTGTCTGGAGAAAATAAAATCATATATCAATGATCCAAAAGTTGAAATATCGATGGTATATCTTGTATCATTTTTACTTGCTCCTTCGTATAGATGAAGAGAGAGTTTGGTAATATGTCATTTATTTTTTAATGGAAATCGATAACTATTTTAATGTTGATGATTGTTCTTGTTTTATTATGCTTTATTTTTCATAATGTTGTTCATCTTATATTTTCCCAACAATCTCTATATTTGTCTTCCTGTCTCATCTCTTGATCAAAACTTATTGTGATCATACAATTTATAGCTGAATAGATGAAGATGAAATGAATGATAAAATATAAGAAGTAGAATGAAAAACAACGATATTTTTATATTCTATTAGCTTCTTAGAGAAGAATTGGTATCTAACTGGTATTGGTATATAACCCTGTACAAACGTATTGTGAATGTAATGTTCTGGATTCGTCGATGCGTAGCCACGATTACCTTTGAGCTATATAGATATCGGTACTAGATAAAGAATTTCTTTTCCTTCTTACCTATCGTTGTTTTAACAGTTCGTTCATGTTGTCTCGATTATTTGTATAGTTGACGTTCTTTCTCTCTTTCATAACGCCCATTTTCATCCTATACGATAGATATCTGAGAACTACACAATAATCGTATAAAATTTAATTTATAAAAATCTTTAACCGAGACATTTTGGCGGTGATTTTTACATATGCATGCAATAGATGGATAATGTATTTCTTCTTTTTTTTTTTAATCATTTGATTCAATCGACTTCTGTCTGGTCTATTTTTATTTGAGGTTTTCTGTTATAGACTTAAACAATCGAAAAATGTAAAATTTCTTCTATTGTTCGGCCTCCCGTCCTCTATACGTACATATACAGACAAAGATATAAATCAAAAAGTATAGATAGATCTCATGTATACATAGATCGCTAATGTTAAATAAAAATATTTTTCCTTTTTTACTAAGACCTATATTTAAAATTACATGTGATTCTAAATGACAACTTTGCATTTCTCTCATAAAAATAGTTAAATAAAGAAGCAAATATGTCAATGCGTGACATTTTATACGTAGAACTATCACCTAATGTTGGAGAATTAGATTCCAGAAGTCTCATATTCCATTGAAACGAATCGGACACTAATCTTGATCTCATTACTTCCCTTTTGTACCACTCTAATTTGAAATACATTAGTTAAATATAAAAAATAAAGTGCTATTTTTACAAATTACGAATATCTCGTGATGAGGGAGAATCTGACGCATTCTTTTCAATAAAAACAAAACAAAAATGGAGTGCCAGTATGATTCAACGATAAAAAGTGTTTGTTTGCAGCAATGATAAATATATTTCTGTTAAATGATAATGAACAAAATACATGTATAATGAGAAAGAAGAAACATATCTACATGTTTGATGTTATTCACTATCGAAATGTGTCAGACTTTACCATTATGCAAGAAGAATATTATAGAACGCTTTATGAAAACAAAATCTAAGAGTTCGTTTTAATGAGTATATCTTTCCTTTTTTGTTTTAGTGATAGTGATGCAAGATCAGAAAAATCAAGTTCAAATATTGGAAGTAGTAAAACAACACCAACGAAATGCGGTGGTGGTTCAAGCAGGCATGTTCTTTTTTATGCTGCTAGATTGCTAATATCTACTAAATCTTCTTTCTGCTACTTCTTAAAAAACTTTTCCTATACAACGGATGAACGTAATGATTTTTTTTTCGCTAGTGATGACCATTCAAAAACAAATAGATTTCAGAACGAATTGAGAGGAAATCGATAATTTTTTAGGTCAATGCTTAAGTGCATTAAGATACAAAGAAATACAGATGTCTCTAGTCTGATTTAAAGATCATGAATTGATTCGAAGAAAACAATTCTCATAGATTCTTCATATGAGATATCCCTTTGAGCCACCTAATGAATCATCTTAATTTTAATTTCTGATTAATTATCAAAAATGATGAGTACTTCGACTGAATTAATGACCTAAGACTATTATCAGGATCAAAACATAGTGCACTCTGTCTACTTTTTGACGAAAACAAATGGAGGCATCTGGTTTTCGCTGACGGATAGAAGAGGTCGGGACATATAGTTTTTGAGCGGGTCTTTGGAAAACCAGTCTAGTTCTAGATAAACTAATTATGTGTTTGCGCAACGGCTTTCAAGAACTTCTTTTATGAAAACCATAGAGTTTTGTAACTCTTTTTTGTAGATTTCTTATAAATATCATCTAGAGTAGCGTAAATACTCTCCATTTCAAAAAAGGATTTCTAGAAAGCCTTTGAACAAATACATAACATTGCAATATGTTCCATGCTATTTAAAGGTTACTCGAAATCATGGATAAGAGTCACGCGTCTTCAGGGAAAGTCGATACCATGTTCGAATTACTGAAATTCACGGTCTTCATTGACTCCCATTTTGAAGAGGACACTTTGGGCTATCTACTGAAGCAAAAATATCGCTATATATGTATGTATGTATGTATATTGCCACTTTAATTTTTGCAGAACTAGACTGATTTTCCAAAGATTCCATCAAAATCCTACTTTTGAAAACTTTTTTGAAATTCGGATTACCCATAAAAAGACTTGCTCCAACCTCCTCTATCCAACAGAAACCGCACTGCTCTATCTCTTCTCATTAAAAAGTTATTCAGGAAACGACGGAATGCACTATATTTTGTCTCCGGTAATAGCTGCTTGTTAGATATATTTCTCCTTTGCCTTAGTACTGAGCGAGTGAATTAATTACTCATTGTTGAGCTTAATTATCTATATTAAATAAATGCTTGATATTCTATTTTGTGTTTAGACGTAAACAGCTTGCACCACGTTTTCGTTTAATTCGTCAATGCAACGAATGTGATTTTTCTACATCAAATATAAATGAATTTAAAAATCATATGAATATTGAACATTCGATCGAAAAAGTATTTCCATGTGATTCATGTCGTCATTATTGTGTTTCTCTTCATGATTTTCATTTACATGCAAAATCTCATGAAATCAAGTATGCTATTTCTTGCTGAACTCTTCTTGAATCTATTAATTGAAATATACACATTCTTCTATTTGACCTATTTTTTTTAATTTTAGACCTGTAATATCAACAAATTCACCTCTTATCATTCAATCATCTTCATCGATAACAACACCAAAAACAATGACAAATTTTTCGAAATCAATTTTAAATTCTGAAGAAGAAATTACTGATCAAGAACAACCAACAAATTATGTTATGGATTCTTCATTCTACAATCATCAGCATAATAATAATAGTAATAATAATATTGAACATGAAACATCAATGTACGATAATGAAGGATGTTATGATGAAGAAAGTTCAGACGATGAACAAGGCGAAGATACACAGGTAAAATAAAACATGTTATTCTAGTAATCTCTTCACATGACATGATGATGATTTTTAGAAAAAGTCTGATGAAAAAAATATCAAAAACGAATCTAGTACAAAAAAAATAGCGTCACTTAACTGTAAGAAGGTAATCGTCAAATGCAAATAGAAATAAAGCTCTTTTCACACACAAATCCGAAAGCACGCTTCCATTTTGCTATAATACGTTTGCTGCATTCAATTCCATGCTTTCATCTTGCTAAGTTGTTGAACACGTTAACTGCACTTTCTAAAGGTAGAACTTGTTTTATATTATTTTGATTAAAATAAGAAAATCTTTTCAGTTGAACAAAAATTTTACTAATAAAACATTGTTAGAATATTCTAAAACTTGTTGATTTTATTTTTGAAAAACTTTGACAATCAAGTTGTAGGTATTTCTAGAGGCAATAATTTATTTCACGTAGCACAGCAGATCTTTTAGTGAGTGTTTTAAATCTGATTGTAACACTACAGTTTCCATGTTTCTATTTTAATTCGTATAGGTAAAGTCTATTATTGAGAAGAGTCATTAATTTCTTTTCATCATTTTTTAATGTACTTTTTTTTTGTTAAATGAAAATTTGTTGCAAATAACTAGAATTCTTTAAAATTATTTCTTCAACTCTTATCAATCAAACAAAAATAATGATCTCTTCTCTGTTTATATATGGCATTAATTTCTAACTTATAATGTGTCCATAAGAGAAGGCAACTTCTTTTTCTTTTTGCTGTCAATAGTTAACAAAAAGCACATTAATTTTCATTTTCGCCAAAAATTAGGCACAGTTCAATGATATAGCCTTTCAGTGATAGTTTAGTTCTTTTTTCTTTTCTCTTATGTAAAAAAACAACTGAAATTGAGCAAATGGTTCAAATTTTGTTTCGTTTATTCTTCACTAGTCGATTATCTAAATTTGTTAGTTCAAACGTGAAACAGAACAAAACAATAAGCTGAAAGCAGATTATCTATAATCATTTGTGCTTATTATTGTAAAAATTTTAAACGAGTAAGAACAACAGAAACAAATGTTATGTTTAGTATTAGATGAGACACATTTCGTTTTCAGTTTGAAATAACCTTTCAGAAAGCACGTAGAATCCTGTCAGTCTGTCATCTAATTCCCGAAACATGTCATAATTTTACATTTGCAGAAGTTAAAGAACATTTTTATGGCCTATCTTATCATTAGTTTCGTACAAATTTTTAAAAACCAGAGTCCTAAGAAGTTTTGTATGAATAGTTGTGACACGAGAGTCTTGAGAAGTTATTAGAGTCTTATTGATAAAATCATTTATTTAAAATGGTAAACAGTAATATTTTTTTCTAATTATTGATCACTATTACTAAAGGTATAATTTAAAGCCTAGACTTTTTTTTCTATGAAAATATTTTGTTTATTTCACTAGGAGCGAACTGAAACTTCCACAATTTTCTCGTAAATATCAGTGATCGATGGTTTGATCGGTCAAATCTTATTCTCATCAAAGAATAATTTTGTGTTGTCTTTTTAATCTGTAAAATACTCTTGACAATATTTTTTGATTGCTTGAACATATCCAGTGTTCATATCCTGTTACAGTGTAGATCAGCGTTGTATTAAATTTCTCCGATAGCTTTGTGTTTGTTCAATTGATTTGTCGATTGCTTTCTTCTTGTTTTATGTATTTGATCATAATTAAGTGTGTGTATATAAAATCAACGTTTTTTAAATGATGACTAAATTTCTTTTTGATCTCTCTCTCTCTCTCGATATGATATAATCAGACTTGAGTGTTCTCAAATATGATAATGTTCTAAGGAGTTGAACAATGTCAGTCAATTGATTGTTTTGTTAGTCTGACATAAGTTTTTTTTCTTTTGGTTCTGGTGTAAATTTTATTTAAAGTGATACTTAAGATTTTTCTGGATTATAACAAAAAACAAACTCATAAACGAACGGTATATATCTGATAGCTGAACAATAAAATTTAATAAATGTTCTTTGTATCTAATTTACATCACAAATTTTTCTTCTCATTTGTGATATTTTTATGCTTGTACTCTCTATCTTAATTTATTTTTCGATTACATTTCACAATTTTCCAATTTGAAAGAAAAGAAGAAAGTGAATTATTTTCTTTAATTAATAAGAATAAGAAATAATAATAAAGAAGTGAATTATTCACCGTTTATTATTATTCTAAGATTATACTATGTTTCTCTTCTTTCTATCTTTACTTTCTTAGTGTTCAGTTCTAGAGAATGACAGAATCATAGACAAATGGATGTGGATGATTCTCGAATTTCATTTTATCCATCTTCAACTGACATAGATATATTGTACTCCTATACTTTATCAAAATTTTTTTCGTTTCTTCGATCTTTTAATAAATAAAAAAGAGACGAAACAAACATTTAAGCTAAGGTAAGCAATTGTCGAAGAGACAGTTCAGTTAGCTGTTTTGTTTATAGCAAATTTAGTATAGTGTTCTTCTGTTATCATCTCGATACCTTCAAGTCGTGTGTCCTGAGCAAGATATTCATGCATGCACTTATGCCTTGGATCATCTGATAGCATGACCACTGAATTGTAACGTACAATACAGTTTCTTTTCTTGATTTTCCGTAACAAGCTGTTACATGGTTAGTGAGTGTGTATCGGACGTTCAAACCGTTTAGTGAAAAGAACTCTGCATTAGACTCGTCTTCTGATCAGAACTGCAATTGATGACCAGTAATGGTATGAGTGACTGTACCAAAAGCCTGTTACCTGTTGAGAAGATATCGAGAAATTAACATTTATCAGTACCTTACTCCGGTAATAGTATCCGCAAGGTGAGATATTTTTCTCCTTCTATATGTAAATGAATCCACATTGTTTTTCCATAATCTTGGCTATTGACTTGTGTGTATATCTTGGACTATGTTATATACAGTGGTAACTGCACAATAGATTTTCGTGCTCTCTACCCGCAGTACGAGTTTCATGAGAATAATATTGAATAAAAACATTTTTAGATTAAAATCATTAGAGATTCATAAAAGATTAGGTTTTTAATATCTATTTGTATTTTATCATTCTACTCATCATAAAACGAAATGCAAAACATTCTATGTTGTTTTATAACTCAGTAAAAAAAATAAACTATTATAATGAAAAAAATTGCAAGAAAAACAATTAATATATGTTCAATGAGACAAAATTAAAAATTTTCTGATCATTCAGACATATAGAAAACTTTAAACTTTAATATCAGTGTACCGTAACGTTTCTTATCTTTTCTTTACTATTTCTAATCATTGTTTCTATTAAAGATAAAATGAGTAGACATGATAAAAAAGAAGAAGAGAAATAATACCCTATAAACATGCGTGTCCAATAGAAAAATGAAAAATGTCTTATATCTCGTTTTAAATGTCTGCAACGAACAATGTTGGACCGACTCTTCTTCTTCTATTGTACAGATATAAGAAAAAAAATGATTTTTTTTTGAGTTGATACTAATTCTACTTTTTGATGCATATAATTCTATTCACATAATCTTGAGAAGAGAATGAGAAATTAAATCTTGGATTCAAAAAATTTTGAGATGAATCTTCTAAGATTATCAGAATGAAATCCACCCGTTAGAGAGTGACATCTCAATGTTTCGAATAGTACAGCTCACCTTTTTTCTTGTAAATCGTTCCTATATACCGGGTAATCATACACATGAATAAACTCGAATTCCTGTAGAAGTTGTTAAATCTTTTTAGGATGAAAAATATACTTTAATTCTTCTTGAGCTAAAATTCAGTCTTATATTATATGATAACAGTAGTACTGATGATAAAATATATCAACGTGACGAAAAAAATAAAGTTCATCTAGAGTCGCTAAAAAGTGCTTCTTCGTATTCACCACACTCAATAACCCAGTAGATTTTCTATTTTATCCTAAGGGATACTGCCAAAAGTTTAGGAAAAATTTTCAAACAAAATGACGAAAAATTTTCACGGGAAAATAATATTAGTTTCGAAATTTTTCTTAAACTTTGTGGTAGTGCTCCTTATCAAAAATACAAAAACCTACTGGGTCATCGAGTGTGCCGAATAGGAAAAGGCACTTTTTCACAACTCTAAATGAACTTTATTTTTCTATCGGTGAAAGAAACGAGAAATGATCACTATGTACACTACTAAACTAACCCTTTACCTACCAAGAGGTCACCCATGACCCATTGGTAGAATTGTTATAAAAAAATAATGAAGCACCAAAAAGTGATGGAAAACAAAATCTTCTTTTATCAATCGATAGCTTATGGATTTATCTTGTTCTCAAAAGCAATCAATTTTTTATCACATGCCTCATTATCTTTTTATAACAATTCTTTGAATCCGTCATGGGTGATTCTTTGGTAGGTAAAGGACTAATAGTTAATTGTTTTGTTTGTTCTGTTGATTTCATTTTTTTACTCATCTAACATACAATTTTCTATACAAACTTCGAAATATCATATACATGAAAATACTTTCACGTTTAAGATATTCTTTGTAGTATGTTCTATCGTTTATATTGGTGCTAAACATTATTGGTGATAAACATTGAAAGAAAATTTCTGATTATGAGTAGAAAAAATAAAATCGCAATGCTATATAAGAAAAGAATTCATCTATCGTTCGTTTTCTTTTTTCATTCTCATATTCTTGTTTTTTCTTCTTTTCAGTCAATGAATATATAATAAATTTCAGAATCTCTTCTCTTATTCCTTAAAATCATAATGCCATTCCATTCATACAAATAAGTGTTCTATTCTATTTTAACCAATTAGAAGAATTCTATGCAGCTTTTTTTATTTGACATTCAGTTGGAACATAAATAATATTAAATGTCTGTTTTATTTTATTTATTATAGAATCGTTCGTCAACGTATAAAAAACTTAATCTATCTGTTACATCGTCTCATTCACAATGCGATGAAAATAATTTATATTCTATCTCGACAACAACAACACAACATTCAACTAATCCAGATAATGATGGACGATCACCGTCAAAACGAGCAAATACAACAACTAGTAATGATAGGAAACGACCATACAACGTTTCGGTAGATCCAGCAAGGTATGTGTTAAGTTTAACTGGGTTTCACATTCAACATTTGAGATTCGCTAATTTGTAATTGCTAACTTTGTGCTCCCAAAAATACTGATTATGACCAGTGAAGACGCATTTGTTGCATCGCACCTTTTATTATACTTTTATGCTCGAAAATAAAAGAATTCATTTATGGAAAGAGAGTTCTTGGATTTCAAGATTCATTCGTATCATATACACATTATCGATTGTTACAAACTTCGTCTTTAAACAAGAAGAAAAAAGCATTTAGATTCTTTTATGTAGAAAATCTTGTACATACGTTATTTATCCGCTATCATTTAGATATCGTCGTGTACCCGACCCAGACGATGCAAATTCAGTAAAATTTGCCTGCTCTTTATGTGGAAACTTGTACAAGTGGCGTAAAAGTCTCAATAAACATTGGAAAGAAAAACACTTTAGTGAATCTCCACCACCGTTAGACGCTCCTGTTCATATTCGACCAACAAAAACTGTAACAACAGCAACTACAACACCACCATCATCATCTTCTTCTTCTTCACCATATAACAAATCACTACAAGGTCGATCTCGTCCTTCACTTGATATCAATTTTCCGCCAAGTTCGGAAAAACTATCAGCATTAAGTAATATGTTATCTCAGCCATCAAAAACATTAGGTCTACTAGGTGCACCACAATCAATATCGGGTCAGTCCTCGGTACAACCTCATCATCCAGCGTTTCCATTTCATCCATTTCATCAGTGGTTGAATCCAGCATGGAAACCAATTTTAGCTACTGCACATCAAAATCGATTTCTCTCTCCACAATCTCTACCACAAATACCATTACCATCCGATTTAAGTCAATTTCATCAAAGAAATATATCGTCGGTTCAGCAACAACAAAAGCAAAATATTTATATGCCACCATCAAATAAATTAATATTACCTCCATCTGAATTTAGTCCAAGTTCTGATTTTGCCACATTGCGAAAACACAACGAAAGAAAGCAAGAGTATGAAAATGATACTAAATCATTTAAAGGTTCGAACGACAATGAACCACAAAAAAATGAATTCGATGGATCAACAGGACCATTAGATTTAACAGTCAAAACAGAAAAATACGATCGTGTCGATAATAAGCCAATCATGGCCAATATATCTAGTGAGTGTTAAACTGAAAACTACGTGCGGATTTATGCTAAAAACAGACATGAAATTAAGTGCTTACTCTTCTAGGTCGACATTCATCAAACGAGCCAGATAAAGCAATAAAAAAAGACAAACATCGAATAAAGTCTAAAAAACATCATTCAAGAGCGATTAATACTATTAAAATAGAAGATAATGAACGTAATAGCTCATTTGAGCAACATAAACATCATCAATATTCTCCGGGCAAACAACAACATCAGTCAGGCTCTCGATCATCATCAACTGAACAACTGCCAGAAGAACAAGAGGACGATCATCAACAACATACACCCATAACAGATATTAGTGTCAGCGACCATAGTCGTGAAAGTTTCTACGATCATCCATCGCGTTCACAGTTGAAAACAACGTCATCAAATCGTTCGAGTAAAGCTGCTGCCAGTACGACTGATATTTCGGCATTATCACAACAACGTCATTTTAATCAGCACCACCAAAATGATCGGAGTCAGAGCCCACAACCAATTGACAGTCAACAATCATCCTCTCGCTTAAGTAGCGCTAATAGTAATAGTCAGACAGATCCAACTAGTCCATCGCAATCATTATCACATATACCAAGTATAGCAAATCCATATGGACAAAAAATATTTATTTGTTCTGTGTGTGAACAACACTTTTTGTCTGTTGAAACAATAAATGATCATTTCACACAAAATCATTTACCTGAATTAGAACGAGAAATATCGGGCAAATCACCACCACGTAATACAAATGTAAGTATTTTCGTAAGATCTAAGAGAACACATTTCGTATCAGTCGCAAGTTATATACAATATATGAGTTTCACCACGTGCGTGAAATAACAGTTGGTAATCTCTCTACAAAAGTGGCGTTTTATTTCAAGTAGCGATAAACCCAACTGCAACATATCATTACTGAATGCTCATTTTTTTCTTCACATAAAGGTTGCTCAACAAAATGAGGAATGGAATTTAAGTGATCCGACAAATCCATTAAAATGTATTCAATGTGATTTTGTTGGACGTTGGCCAACAGAACTACAAAAACATGCTGCATCTCATTCAAGTTCTCGTCCATTCAAATGTCTAATATGTTCATTAACATACAAATGGCGTTGGGATTTAGCAAAACATTTTGATCGTGCCCACCCAAAACTAGTAAATCCATACAAAAAACGAGATCGTGATCAAGCTCGATCATTAATGGAACAGACAAAGAAAGGTGACGACAGAAATAGACGATCGACTGGGACTTCTTCATCACCGTCATCAACTACATCGTCAAAGAAATCAATCTCATCTCGAAAATTGATTCCTGCACCAATAGTCAAACAGAGAAGATCGACTAGCTCACAATTAAACGATAACGAACAGTTATTTGAAGATTTAGTCGATAAAACAGAAATTAGTATTACTGATTCTGATAATGAAGTAGAACAAGAAGACAGGAAGACAAAATCAGATGATCTCGATTTAGAAAAAGGTTCGTACATTTCACTTATTGAACAGAAAATCAGTTTTTAAGGCACATAATTTGGATAGTATCGAACAGAGCTAAAAGATAGTTGTTGTTTATCTAATAGAAGATGTTCTGCAATATTAGACTTTTTTTTTCAGAAAATGATGATGACGATGAAGATTCTCTTGCGTCACCACCTACTAAAAGAATAAAAAATAAATCAAATTCTGACAATCATGTGACTCGCTCAGTATCGCCTCCAGTGATGATTGATCAACCACTTCCGCCTTCATCTTTACATCCATCGTTTCCCTACATGCCGATGACATCAGCTTCTCATCCAATTTATTTTCCTCCGCCATTTTATACGGGCTTTCCACATTCAATATTCCCGTCAATACCATTTATGAATCCTTCATTACTTTTACAATCACGTGAATTACAAAAATTACACAATATGCCAAATTTTCCAACGTCTTCGTTAACGTCGAGCAGTCTTTCAACATCAAATGAAAATCCACCTGTATCACCTAGTTCTGCATCTCCATCGAATTTATCAAAGAATCGTTCTTCAATTTCTAATGCTGCTCCATTTCAACTGTTTTCACAAAATCAACGCCAACAATCACCGTTATCCAGTTCTTCGCCAACACCATCATCGAATGCTACAACACCACGTTCCGAAAATAATTCAAATTCGAATGTAACAGCTCAACAACATGCTGACAATCAATTTATCCTTAATCAAGCTAAACACCACCGTTTTGCCATAGCAGCAATGCAGGCAGCGGCAGCAGCCGCCGCACATCAACAGCAACAACAACAACCACAAACGAATGGTAGTAACGGCCAAGTGTCAGCCATCAGTGGAAATTTAACTCAATTTCGTCAACGCAAAGTTGAAAAAGAGGATAGAAATTTTCAATGTAGATGGTGTGATTACAGAGGACGTTGGAGAAGTGAATTAATTCAACATATGCGATGCCATCATGCTCAACTCAAACCATATCATTGTTCTGCCTGTCCTTATGCGTAAGCTATTCACAATACTGTCACTTTAGATTTGATATAATCATCTTGAAATATTAACTATATTTCCACTGTACTCGTTAAACGGTGCCCATCAAGACTCGTATTAATCTTAACTCTACTTACCATTCTTGAGCTCCTTTTTGAGTAGCAATGATAAGTCTTCTACAATTTGTTTTCGTTCATTTAGATCGAATTGGAAATGGGACGTTCAAAAACATGTCAAAAAACAGCATTCACAAGATCCAGCAAAAATTATTGAAATTCCCGATAAATTTTTATTTCGAACAACAGGAACAGATTTAAAACAAAGTTTTAATCCTAAAAATGTGACAGACGAGAAAGATCAACAATCAAAAAATGATGAAGAAGTTGATTGCAGTTATTTTGGTGTAGATGTTCAACAAAAACTAACAACAATGAAATACACTGCAGATCGACAACTAAGTTGTCAACAGTGCCCATTTGCAGCAAATAGGTACGAAGAGAAAAAAACCACGGTACATCTTGTGATAAAAATTTTCTTTTTATTTTATTCTCAGTATGGCTGAATTACGTCGGCATTTAATTGTCCATTCGTCTGAACAACCGTATCATTGTTTTAATTGTGACTATCGATCAAAATGGAAATGTGATGTTAAAAAACATATGAGAGTTTGTGGACATCATGGACCAGTATTAGTTGGTAGAAAAGCCATGCAAAAAGTAATGGAAAGTTTAGGACTCGTAATTGGAAATACAGATAAACAACAGCAAGCTGCTGCGGCTGCAGCCGCTGCTGTTATGATGCAAATGACAAAATTGAATGAACAACTTCAACATCACGATCTAAATGAACAAGAAGATAATTTGGAATATACAGCAAGTGAAGATGAAGAAGACGATGATTTAGTAACTGGCGATCATTCGAAACGAGAATGGGATGAAACGGACACTAATAATGTTTCACCACCGTCCATCGCCACTGATAACTCTCGAACAATAAATGAAGATCGAGATGAATCAACTGCAGCAGCAGCCATCAGTGTAAATAGTCAAAAAAAAAAGCACATGAAGTTCCCATCATCTACTTCACAAACAATTTCGAATAGTAATTTACGTTGTCGACAATGTGATCATGAAGCGAATGATCTAAGCGACTTATTAGTTCATCGAAAAGCTCATGCATGTACGAAAAATGGAACAAAAACAAATACCGCAGTTAATGTATCATCACATTATCATAATGCAGATACGATTAATTCGTCCAAAACAAGTTTATCAAACGATAATAGTCACATAAACAATGATATTTCACATGAACAAAGTGACATGGAAGAGGAAAATTCTAATTTATCGGATGAAAGCGAGAATGATAATACTCAACTAGTTGAACAGGTATGTTTTTGTCATATTCTAGAAATAGACTTTAGAATTCGATAAAATCAATCACTATATTCGAATACATCATTCTTTTGCAATAAGTTCTAATCGAGAGCAGATATACTTCACAGACCCACTCTCTCTCTTTTTTAATGCAATTTAGTTCAATTCATACGCTATTCTGACATTCAAGAATCTGTTGTTTTCTATCAAAATAAAAATAATTGCAAAGTATAATCAAACATTAAAACATTTTTTTCTTCATTGTGTTTTTAGCACGAGATTGACAGTTTTGATATACATTTATGTGTATTAATTCATTAAATATATTTTAATAGTTCACATTACATTTACAGATTTTTTTTTATAGCTACAGAACGGATATGTATGAATTTCTATTGAATAAAAGCCGATAAACTGTCTTAAAGACAAGAGAGAATATACCGCTCTAGATCTTGATATTTATGTTATTGAAATAAATTGAGTGTACGTGTCATACACAAGTATATCAAATTTTTAACATAAATAGATAGATATGCTAGAGATATGGAACATCAACTAATTTTTCTAATTATATTGTGTGCTATGTTAATGAATCTTGTATAATATCTTTATTTGATAACTGATTGTTAAATCGGCACAACAAATGTTTTTATAAAACTTCAAATCACTTGATTCAGATATGACTGTTATGATCTTTAACTCACATGTGAGAGAAAATAATAAAAATGATTGATAAATCTCCTCAGCTTTTCGTATAGTTGTAAACACAAAGCAGAAAAATTGTACATTATTGTATCACATTTAAAATACTCTAGAATATTCTTTTGAAAAGGCGATTTTATTTATAATTAAAAATAAAAGATAAAATAATTTTTAATATTCATTTTAGACTACTGATAATGTCCATCAATCATCTCAATTTAAACTTAACTATCATATGTTTACTGGAGGTACGTTTGAAAATGATAATTTCCGACACCAAAAAAAATAAATTCTTTTAATATTCATTTTTTTTTCTCCTTTATGTGTATAGAATTATTATGGCTTGAAAATAATCCAACTGTGAAGGCAATGACAAAGAGTGAGTATTTTTGTTAATGATCTATGTTTTATATCAATCTCCTCATTCTTCATCTTATTAGTTCATCATGATAACTATTCAATTGAATATAATTGTAAAAAATGTGATTTTCGTCTTATAAACGATCGTGATTTATTTCTAAAACATCTTGATGGTCATGAAAATAAGGTAAGATTTTAGGATTTTAGTTAATAATTCTTATATATTTTTTTCTTTTTTTATATTTCTAGGATGCATTTGTTTATGATCTTAGCAATTTTTCTCATTCGGATATTAGCAAACTAAAATATCAATTAAATACTCATAA